CTGAGGAGGCTGAGCAATCTTCGCAACAGCCTGCCCCCGCGGGGCCGTGTGCCCGCACCCCTCTCCCGATGCCCCGCCCACTGGAGAGAGCCGCTCTTGAACTCGCCAACAGGATTGGTGAAAAATGGTCTCTTTTTTTTGCTTGCTACTTACCTCTTAGCATTTCATTGTTCGTTTTTGATCTTTTATAAAAGTTTATTCACCTTTTTTCCTATTTCTACTTTTACCTTATAATTTCTTCTTTTTTTTTTTATCCTCACCCAAGGACATTTTTCCATTTTTTGTTCAGGTAGCGTGGGAGGGAGGGAGAGAAACATCGATGTGAAAGGGACACATCGAGTGGCTGCCACCCGCACAACCCAACCAGGGCCAGGGACAAACTGCAACCGAGGTACATGCCCTTAGCGGGAACCGAACCCGGGTCTCTCCGGACCGCAGGCCAACGCTCTAACCACTGAGCCAAACCAGCCAGGGCTATAATTTCTTTATAAACGAAATTTATGACATGGCAAATATTTTTATCTTATTTGACTAATTTTTGAAATTATTTTTCATACACAGATAAGTTTATAATTTCATGGATGCAAATCTTCGATCTTTTGTGTGTGGTCTTGACCCCAGACAGCTCTTCCAGCCCGGCTGTCAAAGTGTGAGCACTGTGATTCCTCAGTGGCTTCGCAGCCGTGTGTGTGACGTGGGGAGGGGTCTGCCTTGTCTTGATTCGGTTCTTTTCTAAGACCTTGGAGAAGCTTGTGGGTTCGTCGGGCCCTTTCCTCTGCGCTCTGTTCTGCTTCACGGGCTCCGCCAGGTCTCCGTGCCCGCTTCCTTCCTGGGACACCCAGTGGCCGGGGAACCGCTCTTCCCTCCCTCCTTTTTCCACTGGCGATTTTTCTCTTTATTTTTATTTTTTTTATTATTTTCTCTGAGAAACAGGAGGCACTATAAATATAAGCTCATTGGACATTTTGTTTCTGCCCATCACTCGACCACTGACCAGAAGCCTGAGCAGGGTGTGAGCCGTCCTGCTCTCTCCATCGGCCCGCCCCCCCCCGCCCCCAGCTCGCTGCCTTCACCCTCGAGAAGGAGGCCGCTGCCGGGTCAACTGTGGTACCTTCAGAGGAAACAGGGACCACGGACAGTTTCAGACGAAGTCGGCTGGAGAGACGACTCACGTAGAACATGGTGGTGTGCACTGGAGGCCCCTGGGCGAGGACCGCTGTGTGCGCATCTCTGATCTGCGTCGCTGAGAGGCTTAGAGCTTGCTCAGTAAGACCTGTTATGTGACAGTACTTTGTGTCCTGACCTTTGGTAAATACCTAAGAGGTCTGTCTAGCTACGGACTGCAGACGCGCCTTCTGCAGACCAGGACCTTGAGAGGTGTCCTGTGTCTGCCATAGAATGTTCATCTGTATCTGTCAGTTGATAAAATACTTCATGTGGAGGCACTTAGTAAATTTTCAACTAGTATAATCTGTATGGGCAGCCTCTGCAGCAGCTTCTGGGCTCCGCAGTCACTGCAGGCGGCACAGACTGTTCGAGCTGCGGTACCGGCGGCCGTGAATGGCCAGCACATCACCCAGGGCGGGCCGTCGTGCTGTCCCCAAGTGTCTCTGCGCTTGACACATCGTCACTTCCGTGTCCTTCCGAGAGCTGCTTCTCTTCTCGCTGCAGTGAGAGAAAGAATCGATTCATTGCATTTGAGCATTTTTATTTTTTTTTGTTGTTACTAAAGAATATTTTAAAAACTTATTTGGTTATTGCTAGTGAATGTTTAAGAGTAAAAATTGGGCCCTGGCTGGTTTGCTCAATGGTTAGAACATCAGCCCACAGACCAGAGTGTCCTGGGTTCAATGCAGTTCAAGGTCACGTGTACCTCAGTTGCGGTTTAGTCCCTAGCCCTGGTCAGGGCGGTGCAGGAGGCAACCAATCACTGTGTCTCTCACCCCGCCCCCATCTGAAGATAAATGGAAAAATATCCTCTGGTGAAGATTAAAAACAAAAACAAGAAAGAGTAAAAATAGGTTACTTTCGGGAAGATGCTTTGTAATCCTCCCCCTACACTAGTATTTCTTTTTCCTATGCTGATTTATACCATTCATTTGGTGATGTATTCTGTTTCACTCTGCTACTTCATCTGACTGGCATGTAAGTTCCATGAGGGTAGGGCTTTGCCCATTTTGTTTCCATTTTTATCCCCAGCACGTCCTGGGGAGGAGAGCCCTGGGTGACGTCGAGCAGAACCCTGTGCGCCTGCCCAGCTTCTGTGGGTCGGTCTCAGCAGGGCACCACCTGGGTCTGCACGCCCCAGGACTAGCCTTGTGTGGCCTTGGTCTGGGTCCCGGCACTGAGCTGGTGGGGCCTCAGCCTGTCGTCCTGTGCATTGTAGTTACTGGGGGCACCCTCACTCTCCCCCGTGGCTTCTCACTGCACCTCGGGGTTCAGGTTCTTTCCTTGCCCACACCTTTCACCTCCAGACTCCTCACTGCAGTGGCTCATCTCCGGGCGGGTGTCCTGCTTCTGCTGGCTGCAGTTTCTCCATAGCCTGGGGCCACCTGGCTGGAGGCAGCCCCTCCCTGTCTTTGCAGCTTGTTGCCTTTGTGCCCGACTCCAGCTGTCGCAGACCTTACCCCTCACACCTGGGCGCTGCCCTGCCCCTTGATGTTCTAGTTGATGAAGCCCAGTGTATCTGTTTTTTTATAAATACCTGTGGTGTCCTAAGAATTCTTTGCCTACGTCAAGTTCACAGAGATTTTCTGCTCTGTGTCTGCTGTGTGTTTTATTCTCTACATCCCGTACATCCATGTTGAGGACGTTTTGTGTCGGGACAGAGTATGGGTATGAGTGCTCTTCCTGACTGTGGGGCTCCGTTGTTTCTGGGTCGTTTTGGAAATACTAGTTGTTTCCCTCTGCATTGCTGTACATTTTTGTCAAAAATCAGTTGTCTTTCATGTGTGGGTTTATTACCGGTTTGACCTTCTGTTTGGCCTTCTATTTTGTTCATATGGTAATATTATTAACATAAGAGAACTTCCTACATGGCATTTTACCATAACTTGTTTTCCTTAAACATGGGATTGCAAGTACGTTGCACTTAATTGAGTAACGATCACTATCTAATGCCTAAAATTTAAGGCTGTTAAATATAAATTGTGTCTGTTATCATGTGAAGGAATAACAACTTTCTCAGAAATGTAAAATCTTGATTAAGTCATAAAAGGACATGTTTTCTATGTCTCAAAATATTTAGAAATTATCTACTGCATCTATTACATCTTATGACTGCAGCTCTTTCCCTCTCTCCGCGAAGTGTGTCTGTTACCGAGAGTGTGAAGGTAGAAGGGCGGGGAGGTGGGTGGGCAGGGGCACGAAGGGAAGCTTAAGGGGCAGGTGGGTCCTGCTGAGGTCAGCAGGGGGTCTGCTGCCGGTGCTGCTGTGAGACAGGACGCTGGGGCAGGGAGCAGGGAGTGACTGAGGAGAAGTACTGGCGCAGACATTCTTTTGTAGCTGTTTTCAGGTGACTACTGGACACAACTTACCAATTGTGGAGATGTCTTCACATTTGTTGCACACATAATTCTAAAGAACATTGCTACTTTATGATATGAATAAAAATTAGCTCCACCCCCAAAAAAAGTAGCTTCGGCCTTTGTGTGTTTATTACATAATTGAGAAACATGAAAAATATAACAGCAAAATATAACAGTATTTACAAAGCTCATTGATAGCCTCCAAACAAATCTTTAGGAACTATGTGGTGTTATTGAAACTCAGCTGCTTGAAAGAGGTATTTAGGAAATAAGGTTTTATAATAAATTGAATGTGGTCTAAAAGTCAGTGGAATGGCTGGCAGTATTAGGTTTTCATAACACGATATCAACCTACCTCTGTTCTATTAGCTTTCAGAATAAACTGAATGTAAAAGAAATGGACCTTCCTCGTATTAAAGCAGGAGCTACAGAAATGTAAAGAGACCTACAAGGTTGTTGCTGGTCCTAAAAGGGAGGGAGACAGGGGAAGACCAGCAAGACAAGGAGGTGGGTGAGAAGCAGAGACGAAGGAAGGGATGGAGGCTGGGCCCCGAGACACGGGGAGGAGGAACCTGGCGTTTCACACTGCCTCTGGGTGCCTCACCCGCTCTGCTGAGGGGGCCTGAGTGATGTAGCCGTTGTGTGTCAGCTGTTCCCGTGATTGGCGCACACTGGACAAGGAGGTTTGTGAGAGTTTGCACAGTGCAGCGTGGAAGAACCTCTTTTGAAAATAAAGCTTCAGTCCTTCCCTGCGTCTGTAAGAGCTTCTACTGGAGGGTGATCTCTCTCATCTGCTCTTCCTCCTTTTCTGTTAGTTTGTGCTTGTCAGTGCCAGCCACAGGGTCTGCGTGAGGACCTCACATCTCCTTGTGATTCAGTTTAGTCATCACATTCCTTTACTCAGGGATGTTTCTGATCGTCGTCATTTGACTCACACCTGAAATGGTGGCAGATTCGGGAAAACCTTCTGACTGGAATCCTCTTCCACAGTCCCTCACGGTGTTTATTGGGGGTGGTTAATTGTATTTGGGAGCTAACTAAGAGAAGATAATTTTTAATGACTGTGTCTATCTGAAATATTTATTTTGAAAGTATAAGTAGAGCCCTGGCTGGTTTGGCTCAGCAGTTGGAGCATCGGCCTGCAGACCCCGGAGTCCCAGGTTCAGTTCCTGCTAAAGGCACGTACCTCGGTTGCAGTTTGTCCCCAGCCCCAGTTGGGGTTGTGTGGTTGGCAGCCAAGTGTTTCTCTGTCTCTCTTCCTTCCTCTCTCCCTCCTGCTCTATCTGAAGATAAATGCAAAAATGTCCTCTGGTGAGGATGAAAAAAGAGAGAGAGAAAGTATAAGTAGAGAGAAATATGCAAAGGGTTTTTTTTTCCCCAAAAGTTATTTCTAAAGTATTATTTATCAATTGAAAGTTTAACTTTCTGTGCTGTTGTTTCCTTGAGTTGATTATACTTCTTCTTCTTTTCAAGGTAAAGTGCAAGTTCAGAGTTCAGACATACAAGTCGGAGACCTCATCGTAGTGGAAAAGGTTGATGCATTTTCAATATATTTCAGATATGTCTGTGCCACTTACTGACATTTAGCCTGATGGCAAGTAACTTGACTATGAAGGAAATTGAGATATTTATTTTAAATCTTAACATCATTGTGTAAGATTTGCTGTACATGAAGAAACATCTAGATTTTATTGTGTAGTCTGTTTTGTTAAAGTACATTTTAGTGTGTGTAGGTGATGTCATATTTTGTCTAAAATAAGACGTGTTAACTGCTTCATGTTGCATTGTCAGGGTTATTTCATCTGAGCAGAGTCGTATTGGAATCTATTTGTAATAGAAGACATTTGTGTTTCTAGGGCTTCCTTTCACAGACGGCTGCATCGCACGACCACTGGTCGTGATTCTTGTGGTTAATGAAACTTAAACAAGGAAAGGTAAATGGAAGTAAAAGAGGATTAGAAGAAAAAGTTTAGGTCAGTGTAGGAAGAGGCCATTCAAAGCCCCCACAGAGGTCAGAGGTGGACATCACCAGGCTCCTGGCGGCCTGGGCTGTGACCAAGGAGGCTGGCCGCGTGGAGTGGCCTCGTTTCTCTGCAGTCTTCCCTGAGAAACAGTGACTCAGTGGACAGTCCCTTTTTTTTTTTTTTGAAGGCTCAAGAACAACTTTAAAAAATAACATTAGTTGATAAGTTTTTAAAAGCCTCTTAGAGAGTAGTGTGAGCCCTTGGTGCCGGCGTCCAGGCCCCTGTGGACATAGCAGCCTGAGCCCAGGCAGATTTAGTAGGAGAAGGTCCCCTGTCAAGACTGACATGGCTGCGTCCTGTTACATTGATATACCGGGAATGGTTTCGGTGTGTTTGAATTTACAAAACTGGATAAAATTAGACATACTGATTGGCACCTCATTTACATAGTATTTGTTTGTATGGGTGCTGTAAGTCACTGACTTTTGGTCCATACTAAGATTTTCAGGTGGTTTCTATTGTGAAGTGCTACAGTGAATAAATATCCTTGTACATTATATCTTTGCATGTTTCTGTAGGACAGATGGTAATCATATAAATTTTGGTGCAGTTTGTTTAAACACCAACACTTGTCTCACAGTTTCTGTGGTTGGCGATCCGGGTGCAGCTTAGCTAGGTCTCCTGGTTCTGGGTCCCTCTGAAGGTTGCAGTCAAGGGTTCCACCAGGTGGCTGTCACTTGCAGGCTTCACAGGGCTGTTGGCAGAACATGGTGCCCCACTGGACTCAGGGCCTCCTTTCCAGGGACCGTGGTGCGAGGCCTTTCCCACGCCCTGCCCGGGGGGCCTCTCCGCGGGCAGCTTACCACCGCCCGCCGGAGAAGGTGGGAGAGCACAAGAGCCAGCAGCACGGGCTCCGGCCTTCAGACCTGCTCCCTCCGCTCCAGCTTCCCCTGCACCTCCAGAGGCTTCCTGGTGCTGGTGTGAAGTCGAAGACGGACAGAATCTGTGAATCGTTTTTTATTGGCAGTGCCACCACGATGAGAGTAGAGAGTCACTTTAATTCTGTGACAGTCACTGGTGAAAACCTACAGCTGACATCACATTCGTGCACGTCTGACCCCTTCCCCCTGAAACTGGGCACAGGCAAGGCATTTGCTCTCACCGTTCTTGCTCAGGTGGCATTTCTAGCCACTGCACAGGGCAAGGAAAGGAAACAGGAATTCGGATTGGAAAGGAAGAAGTAAAAATGCCCCTATTTACAGATGACATGATTATTGTGTATGTAGAAAATCCCATGTGTTCTATTAAAAGCCGCTCAGAACTAATAAGTTCAGCAAGGTGGCAAATTATAAGAGACACACTCAAATGCCAGTGCCCTTTTCATACACTAACAATGAGCATGTGGAAACTGAAACTAAAAAGGCAGTGCTCTGAGTCACTCCTGTGGAAACACAGTCATGGGTGTGCCAGAGGTAACAGTGCGTTCAGGACAGTAATCAAAGATCTGAGTGAAGACCTACATTATAGTCCTGGATTGGAGCATTCCACAGTTTCCCCAGAATTGATCTATAGATTTAATACAATTCTACCAAAATCCCAGCAAGGTTTGTTTGTTTGTTTGTTTTTTAAACACAGTAAGCTTATTCGAAAACTACTTTGGCAAGGCCCAGGCCCTAAAATGGCTAAGACAGTCTCGGCAAGGAGAGTAAAGGGAGAAGAATCACTCTTCCCAAGGCTAAGGCATCCTGCCTAGACACATTGGAAGCATACTATAGAAGAAGGAGAGAACCGGGACCAGAGAAACATCAGAGAGAACCCGGAAATGGACTCGCCAGATCTGCCCAGTGTTGGACAGGACAGGGCCGGGCCAGGTGCAGGAGCAGCTGGAGCGGAGAGAGGCCTCCAAGGGGTGAGGCTGGAGCCGTTTGGGACCCGTGGGTGAAAGCTGGCCTTGCTCTGAGTGCCCACTGTACACAAATATCGAATCAAAATGGATCACAGATTTCAATGTAACCTGTAGAACTGCAAAAATTTAAGAGGAACGTAGGAAAAAATATTCGGAATCTAGGTCAGGAAAGTTAACTTCTTAGACTTGACATCAAAAGCACAATGCAGCAAAGATTTAAAAAATTGATAAGCCCTGGCCAGTTTGGCTCAGCAGTTGGAGCGTCCACCTGCGGTCCGGAGAGACCCGGGTTCAGGTCCCGCTAAGGGCATGTACCTCGGTTGCAGTTTGTCCCCGGCCCTGGTTGGTCGTGCGGGTGGCAGCCACTCGATGTGTCCCTTCACATTGATGTTTCTCTCTCTCTCTGTTCCTCTCTCTCCCTCCCACTCTATCTGTACAAAAAAAGGAAAAATGTCCTCGGGTGAGGATAAAAAAAAAAAAATTGATAAATTGCATCTCATTAAAATTAAAAGCTGTGCTTCGTGAAAAGACACGTCAATATGATGAAAAAACAAACTACGAACTAGGAGAAAATATTCGTAAACCACGTATCTGACAAGGATTTGTACCTAGAATATATAAAAACTGTTAAAAGCCAATAGTTTAAAAAAGTCAAATTAGAAAGTGGGCAAAAGACATAAATAGAATTCCACTGAAGAAGGTACATAGATAGAAAATAAACACATGGGGCCAGTCAGTGTGGCTCAGTGGACTGAGCGCCATCCTGTGGTCTGAGAGGTCCCAGTCGATTCCCAGGCAGGCCACATGCCTGGGTCGTGAACTCCATCCTCAGTAGGAGGTGTGCAGGGGCAGCCGATTGATGTTTCTCTCTCTCAAAAAAAAAAAAACAAAAAATCGGTAAAAATATGTTTTTTAAAAAAGAAAGAAAAGAAACACATGAAAAGATACTCTATATCATTGATCACCTGGAATTGCAAATCAGAACACAATGAAATATCACTACACATGTAGCAGAATGACTACAATGAAAAATGTGAAATGCTGGCAATGATGTGAAAAAAAGTGTATTCCTTATACATTTCTTGTGAGAATATCCAGTGTTATAGTTATTCTGGAAATCATTAGTCTCTTAAAAAGCTAAATAGGCAAATACGATATGACCCAGCAATTGAACTGTTGAACCCGTCACAGAGAAATGTTCATTTAAGTTGACACAAAAGCCTATGCGTGAATGTTTATACTTGCATCATTCATAATAGCCAAAAATCTGAAACAGTCCTGCTATCCCGACTGGTGATAATCAGAGAAGCTGTTGTACATCAGACCGTAGTGTATCACGTTAGGAAGACACAGGTCTCGCCCTGGCTGGTTTGGCCCTGCTGGTTAGAGCATTGTCCCGAAGACCAGAGGGTCTTGGGCTTAATTCCCATCAAGGGACACACCCCTGGGTTGCAGGTTCTGTCCCCAGCCCTGGTTGGGGTCATGCAGGAGGGAACCAGTCGATGTGTCTCTTTCACATCGATGCCTCTTTCCTCCTCCTTCCCTTCCTTCCACTATCTCTAAAAATCAATGGAAAAATATCCACGGTGTGGATTAACAAACAAACAAAAAAGGAGACAGATCCTGTTCTCATGTTGCTCATAGTCTGAAGGGGAGGGAAAAAATAAAAAGTATCCAATAATTATTTGCAACTAGCAAGTTTATTTATGAGTGCCTCATAGAAAATGAAACCGATAAGGGACTAAAGAGTCATGGTTTGAAAATATAATCAAGAAAAGAATTTCATTTATAATAGCATCAAGAAGAATAAAATACTTATAAATAAAATAATTTTCCAAGAATGAACAAAAGGAGTACAACACTTATATTTGAAACCTATAAAACATTGTTGAAACATTAACGTAAATCTAAATAAAGTAAAAGGTAGCCCATGTTCATGGATCGGAAGTATCAATACTGCTGACACGGCAGCTAAATTGATCTACAGGTTTAGGCTGTCCCTTTCCACTTCCAGCTGACTTCTTCGCAGAAATTGACAAACTAATTCTCAAATTTATATGGTAATAAGAGGTTCCCAGAACAGCCACTATAATTTTTAAAAATCGGAGTAGTCACACTTTGCCATTTCAAAACCTTCTACAAAGTTTTAATCAAGACAGCATGGAGTGGCACATCAGAGTAGAGTCCAGAGGTAAAGCCGTAAGTTTGTGGCTAATTGGTTTTCGACAAGGGTGCCTAGAACATGAGCGGGATGAGGGTGTGATTGGGCAGGTACTTTTTCAGACCCAGCACAGTGAAAGATTCTTCCATTTTGTGTGTGCCTGTAATTCATTTGTTTTGTTGTTACATAGTATACCTTTTGTCCAGTCTGCAGTTGACGGGTATCTGGGTTGCTCCTGTTTGCCTGTTAGGACTGCTGCTTCTGTGTCGCCATGAGTTTGGGCTCACCTGTGCACACTGCTGCTGCGTGTGCGCCTGGTGGAGCTGTTGGGTTCAGGGGCAGGAGCATGTTCACTTCAGGGCAGATGCTGCAAATGGCTTTGCAAAGTGATTCAAATTGTACTCTACTCAGCAGTGTAAGACTTTCCGTTGCATCATTAGTCTTTTTAATTAGCGTTTCCAATATATATCTAGCGGTTGTGATTTTAATGTGCATTTCCTTGAAGGCTAATAAAGTTGGACACCTTCTCATGTGATTTTGGATATCTTTCTTATTTGGGAAGAGCCTCTTAAAATCTCTTGCCCTTTTTCTTCTGAGTTGTCCCTTCTTCTCTCATCAATTTGTGGGTCTTTATGTCTTCTGGATGCAAGTCCTTGATGCTGCAAACATCTTTTCTTTCCTCGTGTGCCTTGTTGAGCAGAAATCTTTCATTTTAATGAAGTCTACTTCATTAATCCTTTCATTTATAGTTCTTGTGTTGTTGTTTTCGGTGGTGGGGAAGGAGTCTTCTTCCCTTCCAAGGTGTTGTGGAAATATTCTATATTATTGTTTAGGAGTTTTATTTTTTGGACTTGACATTTAGAAAAGTAGTTCATCTGATCGCTTCTCGGCCTTTTGGCTAAGATCAAGTGTAGTATCTGTTCTTATCAGTTTAATATCTGATACGTCCTCTATCCGAGGACAATATATTAAATTCCTAAGCGAAACAAGCCAAACAGAGAAAGACAAGTATCATATAATCTCACTTGTTTGTGGAATATAATGAACATAACAGTCTTAGGAATGGAGTAGTCCCAGAGACTGGAATTGGGGTACAGACTGATAATCCCCAGAAGAGGGGGTGGGGGTGGAAATCACAGAACTTATATTCATGTGTGCATGAAAAATGGACATGGACAACAAAGCTGGGGACAGGGCGGGGATGGAGGGGGAGGGGGGAGTCAGTGGGGGGAAAAGGAGAAACATCTGTAACAAAAATAAATAAATAAATAAATAAAGAAATAAAGAAAGAAAGAAAGAAAGAAAGAAAGAAAGAAAGAAAGAAAGAAAAAGAAAAATAGTTCATCTGGAATTGATTTGTGTTTTGATTGACGTAGAGGTCAGGTGTTCTCCCCTTCCCCATGGGCATCTAATTTTCTCAGCAGTTTCTTTAAAAGACCACCGTGCCCTAGTAGGTCTGCAGTTTCCTCTCCCTCCTGAGTCCCTCGTCTTCCCATGTGCGGCCTCGGGAGCCTCCACTGAGCGGCGCTGTGCCTGTCTCCTGGAGCCCGGCCTTGCCTCATGACTGTTGGAATGTTTTCGTTTTGCTGTGTTGTAGACTCACTCTCTCTGTTTCTCACATTTGTCTTGGCCATTCATGGCCGTTGCATGTCCCTGTAAATATCAGCAGTTCCAAAAACCATGGCAAGGTTCTGGTCGGGTGTGTGTTGAATACACTGAACTGAATGGGTTGGTTTGTGGACACTTGACGTCTTGGCCGTGCCACACGCTTCAGTTTGGAGCCTGATAATGTACTTTTTTAGATTTTAATTTCTCGCAGTAAGATTTTACAGTTTTTTCATAGGACTCACCAATCTTTATTAGTTTATTTTGTTAGTTTTTTCTTATAACTGGAATGAGAACATTTGAAAGATACTTAACTTTCTTGCTGTTACCAATGATATAAATGTATGTGTGTATGCGTATATTTGTTTTCTGTGTCATTGATTTTTGTTCTTATATTTGTTATGTCTCTGTCCTTTCTCTGTGGTTCATTGGCTGGTTTTTCCTGCTTTTGATTGGACCTTCAGCTCTCTGACACTGCGCTGTCAGCCCTCGCTGGGCTGTGCGCCTCCTCACTCCTGGCTTTGCTGTGCTCCACTTCTGATGTGCTGAGATTGTGTTGCTGTTCAGTTAAAAATGTCTTCTAGCCCAGCCAGTGTGGCTCAGTGGCTGAGCGTCAACCCTGCACCAAGAGGTCGCCGGTTCGTTTCCTGGTCAGCTCACATGCCCAGGTTGTGGGCCCGATCCCCAGAGGGGGGCGTGCAGGGGGCAGCCAGTCGATGTTCTCGCTCATCAATGTTTCAGTCTCTCTTCCTCTCCCCCTTCCTCTCTCTCTGAAAAAAAATCAATAAAGAAAAAAAAATGTTTTAAAAACATTTTCTAATTTCCATTGTGATTTCTTCCTTGACCTAGAAGTTCTTTAGATCTTAATAACTGCCCTTCTTTCTTCATGTTAGAGAAAAGGCTCGATCCTACAGCATCTTTTTTTCTGCTTAAACAACTTGTATTTGCTTTTATTACTTTCTGACTGACAATTCATTTTTCATATCATGTGTAGGAACATCTTTATGTAGGTCTCAACATTATGAATAATTCATGAAATCATGTGAAGTATTCTTATTCTAATTATATTTTTTCTTATTTTGACAGTATCAGTAGTAACAATTGTTAAATAAATGTGTGAAGAGCGACTTATGTTTTTATTCACCATACAGTTTGTTTGAGTTAGTTTTCCTTTTCTGCTTCATAAAAGAAAACCTCCTCCGGTTTGCGGGGTATAGTTGGAGTTACTCAGCTGTACATTCATCCATTCATTCAGAATTGAGTAAGTGTGTTACTTAGGTGGTTTTCTGTTTTGTACAAGGCATTGGGAGAATGCTGTCCACCCTTCCTAGGGTCATTTATTATAAAGCGGTAGCTGCTGTGTTACGGGTTCAGGTGCTAAAGAAGCCACAGAAACGGCAACGTTTAACATTCCTCAGAGATGGAGCCGCTTTCAAGCTATCACTAAATACCGTTTACGAGGTTCATTAATGGGAAAAAGTCTTAAATGTCCAACTAAAACATGAATCAAAATAGTCACTTTTTAAATACAAATTATAAATGTGAATTGCTTCGACATAAATTTTAATTTAACATTTTAGCTGTTTTTACTAGCTGTTTCTACTTTGGAATGGAATTGTGTTAATTCATAAAACTGCATATAGATAATTAACATTTTACATTACTCTCTACAGAATCAAAGAATTCCATCGGACATGGTATTTCTTAGGACTTCAGAAAAAGCAGGTATTTTTATTTTTATTTACATTGTTGATGATTTGATATTTTGGCAGTTTAATTTCTATTTTGAAAGGAAAAATATACACATTTTTCTTTGAATGATAAATCTCTTAATTCGTTAATTTCTAAATTACATTTAGCTGTTGATATTTAAAACAGTGATTTTAGTGTATAATATGTTTGTTTTAAAAATATCCTTTCAGAACCGGTATATTAAACAAGTGCTTTCATTCACGTCCATATTGAGATCTAAATATTAAACGATGTGTCTGGAAATCCTGTTGCTCTTCTGCATTTGTGACTTTATTTATTAATTCAGCAAACGTGTATTTACCACATACCATGTGCAGTCACGATGTGGTGCTCAGGATATAAAAGGAGCAAAGCCCACTGCTCCCCTCAGAGCTCCTGGTCTGTGTTTGTGGAGGTGCACACAGTGACCGTAGACCTGTGCTTTGTAGAGGCCCGATAGGCGTGAAAAGACGTGGGGGTCGGGGTGGGACCTGACCATTGGCCTAGGTGAGTTGAAGGAACCTCCTAGATAAAAAGATATTTGCGTGACCTGAACTTTCAGCAGTCAGAAGGATGGAAAAGGGGAACGAGAGGGAATGAGACAGAAGCCTCATACGATCAAGAAAACTTGTTGAAAATCCAGGAACCTAAAATGTAGTCTGCTTTGGCCAGTTCCTAATGATTTGATCTAGCCACGTGGTCACATGTTTTTGTCATCTCTAAAATGATGGGAGGTTTATCAACTAATATCCAAGTTCTTTATGCCTTACATCTCTTTTTGTTGAATAAATGAACATTTTTATAGGAAGCTCCACATGTCACTCTTCTTTCTTAAGCTCAGCAGATGTGTCACTCGCTGCAGCATGGGGCTCTAGAAAGGACATAGTTAGTTTAGAGTTGCTGATTTGATTTTGTCCATTAATGAGCAGCATATTTTTTTTAAACTTTTATTTTTTTATCCTCACCTGAGGACATTTTTCCATTTTTGTTCAGATAGAGTGGGAGGGAGAGAGAGGAAGAGAGAGAGAGAGAAACATCGACGTGAAAGGGACACATCGAGTGGCTGCGTCCCACACAACCCCAACCAGGGCCAGGGACCAACTGCAACCGAGATGCGTGCCCCTAGTGGGAACCGAACCTGGGTCTCTCTGGACCGTGGGCCAACGTTCTAACCGCTGAGCCAACCCAGCCAGGGCAAGCTGCATACTTTTAAAGTGACATTTTAAGTCAGAAAGAAGAAGACTGTCTTCTCCTTTCATCACCTGTGACGGTGTCTCTCCACCCTGGAAGGTGGGGCTGCCATCGACTGCTCAGCTGACCTGACCACGAAGCCCTTGCAGACACTTGGCACGTTCACTTTTCTGTGTGATATTTGGTGGGAGATTGTGTTTTCCCAGGGGGGAGAGACTGTAAAGCCACATTTCCTGTCCATTTTCCCTTCCTCTGGGAAATTCAGCTGGACTCGTTTCCTGCTCAGTTAGGTGGGGTCATGCCCTGAGGACTGGTGAAGGGGGGTGGCTGAACGTCATCTGTACCACTTCCAGCCCTGGCCTTGAGCCCCTGTGGCATCTGCCCTCCTCCCTGCGTGACGGGGCCCCACTGGGGCCTGGCTTGGAAAGTCTCGGAAGCCGCCTGCTGGACGGCAGCGCAAGCCTCGGCGGAGGTCCCTGAGGCTCTGTGGGGCCGAGCCGGCCCTTCCTTTACCAGACGGACTGTGTGCTAGAGGGATGTTCCTGGCGTGCCCAGGTTGCAAGATTTACCTTTTAAACTAGCTAGTGCTCTCTTAACACTGCAGGGCTGAAGCAGGCAGTTCACGACCTTCCCTTGCCCTTCACTTCTTCACCCAGCACTGCCAGCCCACCAGGCATGAGAGGTCAGGGTTTCCTGGGCACGGGCGCAGCCCTGCACGGGCAGGTGGCCTCTAGACCCCGAACCTGTCAGAGCCCCTTCCCGTCGTCTGATTCTCTAGCTTGTCTGTTAGGATTTGCTCAGTTTGTTTGCCCAGCTTCATGACCACCTGGACAGTTATGTGATGTCAGGTCGTTGCCACTGATTGTTTTGGACAAACATCCCAGGGAAAACACTGTTCTCAATGAATGACCTCTGCATCAGGTCAGATCCAGACAAGCCCTGCCTGTTGGATGGTCACAGTTCTCTGCTCATGGGGTTTGGGGAGCCCTGAGTTGGGTTTGGATCCTTAGTGGCTGCTAGACTGTCGGCTTCCTCAGTACTGTGGAGTCTGGGAGTTGGGTGGAGTGTTGGGAACAAGGCAGATCAAGACGTAGCTCAGCCTTGGCTGGATCTAGCAGTGTTTCTTGAATAAATGCACCTGAGATTGTTGCAAATTTTGTATTATGTTACAGAGTTCTGATTACGTTGCTTTTGACAGTTTTTGCCAGTGTTCTCATAGAGTTCTGGAGGAATGGATTTTCAGAGATTTTTTTACACTGCCATTCCTGCTGATATCACTACTTATTTATGATTTGTTTTTGTTTCTAAATATATTCATTATAGTGAATAACAGAGATGTTTCCATTTAGAAGATGCTTTTATATTAATTATCCTTTTAGTGATTGTGCTGGAAATATATGTAAGATTAAGAATAGTATTCTAAATATGGAAATGGTTTTAGATAGTCAACTTAAAAGCAATAGATCATATAGATTGTGTTAAAAGACAAAAGATTACAAAAAGTCAGCATCTTGAAGCTGGAGAACAGAAACGTCCACTTTTCAGAGGAGGAACCGGGGCTGGTAGATGCGCACCTTGCTGACGACGCATGACTGACAGCCGTTTTGGAGATTCTTCTTTGGCCTTTGCGTGGTCTTTTCCCTGTCACCGCTGTGCTGCGGTGAGGCAGCGACCGAGACCGAGGGCAGTGAGGGTCCCAGCGCGGACGCCCGCTCCCCCCCCCCCCCCCCCCGCCCTGCCGCTGTGTTTCACGGTCGGGGACAGTTGTGAGGAGGCTTAATGTTTTGGACGTCATGGATCTCTTTGAAATCTCAAGAAGTATTTTATTGTTCCCCACAAAAACATACATAATACGTATTCATATATGCTGATTTTTTATTTTACATATCTTTGGAAGGTTATTAATGGATCTGAGTTCAGGACCTTACTGCAGTCTCTTTTAGCCTGTGATTCTGCTACATTCTTTAGTTTTATTATTTCTTTCTATTAAATTACTGATTACTCATGCAGACATCAACATGTCAGATACCTGTTTCATGCAGTTTCTTTTCTTTGTAAAATGGACCAAAAGCTTCCCCACTGTATGAAATTTCATAATATTGCTTTTGGTCAAGGATTTTTAGCTTTGGAAATTCTGTTTGTATGACTTTAAGTAATTATTTTGAGTGTTTTAATTCCCTGGGTTTCAAAAGTACACATATTTAGAAATTTTTATGTCTACTATCACTGTTAATATTATTACTTTTCAGTTTTAGTTTAGAGAAACCTGATAACACATTGTCTGTTACAATAGACACCTTCAAGCCCTAGCCAGCATAAAGCCCGAATCTGTGCAGCACGTTCGAGCTTGGACGACAGCCGCGGGCGTTGTCGCTGCGGCTCGGAGAGGCTCTTGGTGGCATCGTGTTGACTGTGTATTAATACAGGGTGTTCTGTGGCCGTCAGCTGATTGTTTGGAATGTAAATGAAGCGTTGATGGATCTGGTGACTGATGGCTTAAGTTCCAATTAATCAATTGCTTCATTCGTTTCTTAATTCAGATCAAATATCTCCTGAATGCACACAGTTCTTTTAATGGTGTTAAGAGAAATTAATGCTTGAGAACTAATTTTCATCAATCTCTTATAAATGCCAATATCTTTTTCACTTGTCTCCTAAGTGATGACATTCTAGTTTAAGTGTTGGGGACATGTTACAATAGCTCAGCTGTCACCTGTGGTGGGGTGAGGGGCAGGCAGATGACACTGTACTCAGCCACCTTCTCTCCATGGTGTTGTTCATCTTGCCACTGGCTTAAAATTTTCAAGCGGAGTCATTAAGTCAGATAAATGGTTTAAAATTAAGTTTGATGGCAAATGATCTGTTGTTATATATGCAAAGTCAATGTCTGCTTTTTTCTCGTGGGGCACACACCGCAGTCCGCTTCTTTCAGAACTATTGGGTTCGTGTGCTGTGGCAGGCAGTCCTCTGATGCCACAGGGTGACTCGCACAGCCTAGTTCCGGCTCCTGGGCCGCGCCCCGTGGCATCCCAGCAGCCCCTTGTCCCCACTTGGTGCAGCGACTGTGTGGCACATGCACTAGTCGATCTCCGTCTTACTGTCACTAGACCTCTCCTCTCCTGTCCACTCCTGTCAGTGATGCACACTGACATTAAGAATTCATAAGAAGGCTGCAATAGGATACGAGCAGACTCACTGATAACGGATCTGCTGAGCCTTCGCTGCGCCCGCTGAAGCTCACGCTCACTGTGGGACCAGTGGCTGTGGCCGTGGGAGACACGCCAGCGTTCACGCGTCGGCTCGCTGCAGACCCGCTCTCGTCGTGCCGTCACTGCGACATCAGCGATGTTTGCAGTGACTGAAGAGAAACAGTGTGTCAGTTCCCTATACCTTGTAGAACCAGCACACGGTTATTTAATTCGCAGCCGTCCTTTTCATTGACGAAAGGCAACTGTATTGTTTCCAGTGCTTCATTAGTTACAGCCCTCTAGCCAGATAAGCTTTCACCTTTAGGAATGCAGAATGTTTGAAATCTAGGAGACCAGAGAGTCTTACCTTTTCATGTCTTGTATATTAGAAAGCAAACCTGGAGCAGAGCTGTGCTACTAACGCTTCAAAGTGCTTGTCAGACAGACTCTGGAATCCAGTCCCTTGTATATCACTTCTATATTTTATGTCAGAACACACACAGGCATATGTGATAATCATGCATGTACTCAGATGGTGGTCTCACAGGTCTACCTTCAGCTGATAAACTGGGCCTTGAGGAAGGTGAGTTGATCTCTGTGCCTTTCCTGGGATCATGCTAGCATGGGTGATGCCCAGTGTAGGCTGGGTAAAGGGTAAATGTAACTGGTGGAGAGAGCTGATGGGGCACACTTTTGGCACTAAATCGCTGGTGGTCATGATTAGTCGAAAGGACATTGGCTGGCAGAGGAAAGCATCTGGCATTTTTGCAGCGTAAGAGAGCAGAGAATGCCCACGGTGCGCAGGGGGCCTTCTGCGGTTCAAATGAACACGAGGCTGGGTGCTTGGGGATGGCCATGGATTCACGTGAGCTTTAGAATGAGTGTAAAGGTGCACTGGACTTAGTGCGTGAAGATGTTTTAATTTCTCTACCTTCAGTATTTCCCCAAATTTGAGAAATAACATCACACAGTCGTCTTCTGTGTATGTCATTCTGTGCTGTTCTAGAATGGTATGATAGCATGGTCAAAGGGCAAATGCATTGCTTAGCAAAGTTTAAGATTCGATAAAATATGACAGTGACTCTGACCACGCTTCGCATCTCACTGCGCCTGTTGAGGCGCCTGTGTTTTCCCACAGTGCCTCGCACATTTCGCCAGGTCATGTCGCACATCCCAGATGTTGTTCAGTATTTACTTACTGTTTCGTTATCAGAACGTCAGTCAAAGGTAGAAATGATCATTGTAGTCTTTCTAAAATAAAGCACAATTAATCTTAAACCTTAACAGACAAAAACACCAAACAGGAGATAAGGACTAAGCAATCACCTGTATCTTTTCAGCAAACTTGCTTTGTGAATCAGATAAAGGCTTTCAAAGATTTTTGTTTATAGTCATCTCTAGTATATCATTTCTGGATCTGACTGTGCCGTGGGAGTTTGTTTTTTAAGTACCTGTAACTGAAGGACTTTTCTCTTCTGATCCCAAGGTTCGTGTTTTATTCGAACCGACCAACTAGACGGCGAGACCGACTGGAAGCTGAAGGTGGCCGTGAGCTGCACGCAGAGGCTGCCGGCTTTGGGGGTGAGCACCGCCGCCGTCGCCCACCCTCCAGGGTAGTGAGTTTCTGTTTGTGCCACCTAACCTACCAAATGCGTCAATAATTTTAAAAAATATATTTACTGCTAATGAGGGATCATTGAAAAGTATGCCAAAATGATTTCTGGGGTGTCTTAGCACATAACCTGTTTGAGATATAGTTTTGAATGTTCCTATTGACTTGACATTGAAGCTTTCTTTGTTTTCTTTCCCTTTTTGTTTTTATTTTTAAACCCTCTCCGTCCGGTAATCTTTGAAATGAAGTGCTAGGGTGTGGGTTCAGTGTCCACTGCTGGCGGCTGGCTCCCTCCCTCAGAGCCTGTGCAGACACTGCTTTGAAATCGACCCCGACTGGCTTCCCGAGTCTGAGAGTCCAGCCTGTCCACTCACCTTTTCCTTTGACGGGTGGAGGCTCCTCTCCGATTCAGAGGAAGTGGCATTGCCGCGTCTCTAACAGAGAGAAGGACGCTCGGACTTTCCGCTGGGCCTTTGCTGAGTTCCTCTCTGTGTCTGGGCAAACGGGAAGGGGCGGCCAAGAGAGAGCGGCACTTGTAGATCTCGGTATTTTCAGTAACATCCGAAACAGATCTCTTACAAATGCTGAGAATCTCCTGAACTAGTACACATCTTTTTAAAAAAAAAAAAAAAAATCACAGCTGTGGAGCCCTGGCTGGTGTGGCTCAGTTGGTTGGAGTGTCGTCCCATATACTGATTTCCGCTCAGAGTACATACCGAGGTAGCAGGTTTGGTCCCTGGTCTCTCTCTCTCTTCTCTCTTAAATAAACAAACAAAAAAATCAATTAAAAAATAAACTTAAAGCACACAGTTGTGGCCATTTGGTGTTTAGTTTGTGTCATATGTAGTATTTATCTAAATGAGAGAAGCTTCACTTCATATGACTGGCTGGTATTCCATGGACAGGGAAGAAAGGTCGAACCCTCAGGGGAGGAAGTGGAGACCGTGGACTTGGGCCCTTTCCTTAGGCTGGTCGGCTCTGGATGGAGAACCTACTTGTGCTGCTACAGCCAACAGCCAGTCACCGTGCGCAGCGGGCACCTTCCTCGTTCCTGGTCCTGGGCGCTTCGGGACCACGTTTGTCCACATGTGCGAGACCCGCTGCCCGCACGTCAGTGGCCCCTTGGTGATGTCGGCCGATGTGCTCGGGGTCCTCTTCCTGTGCTGCAGCCTTTCGCCTGCTGACACCTTGCGGAGGCTGTTTTGTGCCTGTGTGTGAGGAAGGCTTGTGTTTCGTTGCGATGCCTTTGCGTTGACACCTGGGGGTACGCTGGCCTCAGTGCATGAGCTGGGAAGTCTTTTTTGCCCCCTGTACTTTTTTGAAGTACTTGGTATAAGAGTATTGTTATTTCTTTTTAAAATGTTGAACATGTCCTTGGAACTCCCGGGCAAGGAGCATCCTTTATGGGAAAGTATTTCATTGCGATTAACTTTCTGAATTAGATAGTAGAGTTCATCAGATTTTCTGTTCATTGGAAATCTGTGGTTTTTAATTAATTTATTTGTTCCATATACGTTGCCAAATTTAATGGCATAAAATTCATAATACTAATAATACTTGATTATTATTTTAGTGCTTGTAGGTCTCAAGACCTCTTTCATTCTCGATATTGTTAATTTACATCTTCTTTTTCTTGGTCAATCTAGCCAGAAGTTCATCAATTTTAGTGATCATTTCAGAGAACTTGCTTTTGGTTTCATTGATTATTGTCTGTTTATTTTCAGTGTTACTGATTTCTGTTCTTCACTTTATTCCTTCTACTTTGTGTTTAATTTTCTTTTCTTGCTTAACTCTTTAAAGAAGTCAGACTCTTGATTTCCTGCCTTAGTCTTTTCCGGCAGAAACTTCTAGAATCTCCCTCCGAGTGCCCCCACCTGTGGCTCCCAGGTCTGTGCGCTGCGTCCGTCATCAGCATTCACTTCACACATTTCTAGTTCCTTCATGAGTTCTTCTTTTTCACCCCTTGTTTACTTGGAAATATATTGTTTATTTACCACATATCTGGGGATTTCCTTAATGCCTTTTATAATTTATTTAATTTTATTATGCTTACAGAATGTACTCAGTTCTTTCTCAGTCTTCTCATACGCATTGACTTGTGATCTGACCCACAGATGGTCTCTCTGGGGCAGTGTTCCGTGTGCGCTCAGAGCGTCTTCTCAGGTGCACCCCCGCTACCTCGGCGTCTCACGGCTCTCGCACTGCTGCCGAAACCCCTCGTCCTCCGCGAGCTCGCGGCCGCTCCCCGGCGGGACTGAGCCGATGGCTGGGCAGGTGCTGCTCCGCCGTCTACCAGTGTTTCTCCTGCGTCCTCCTCCTCCTCTCCGGCAGGCGCCCTCGGGCAGCCTCTCTGGGCCCAAGGGGGGGCGGGGGGAGATCACGAACCGGAACGCGAGCGGCTGCTCCTCGGTCCTCGTGCTCAGAGGCACCCCACTTCCGAGAGCTCGCGTCGCCGCGGCGGGCCTGGGAAGAGCGGCCCCGCAGAATCACCTGCGGTGGATCTGATCTTGCCAAGAGCGGTGGAGAGAAAGTGCGGAGTTAACGCTGTTAGAAGGGGTTTTCCTGAGAGAAAAGCCAAGCGGACAGACGAGCTGCGAGCCGCCCCAGCAGGAGCGGGGAGCAGGGTCCGAGGGAGGCGAGGGAGGCGGGAGGCGCAGGGGGAGCGGCAGGAGCGCCCCCCGCTGGACGGCGGCCGCGCCCCAGGCGCAGACGTGCGGCCAAGCGCAGAGCACGCGCGCTCGGAACATGACGAACTGCACGTGATCTGCCTGGAGAAGTAGGTACACTCCTATCGTCATCTGCATTTCTGAGACTCCCGTGATGACAGGAACTGACATCTTGCCATGTTCAGTATCATAAGGGTGTTTTCTATGATTTGGCAGATTGTGCACAGATAGTTGTTTCACAGAAAAGAAAACTATAGTTTGGTCATGGACACAGACAGGCTGGTCTTTCACGTCGTAGCTGTCACTCACCTCGACTCTGCTGTTTCTGATGGAGTGGACTTCGGGGGTGTGGGGTCCTTTGCTGTGGTCACATCGTCTGCTGCGCATGTGTCCACACGACCCGGAATAAGTAGACGCGCAGCTCCCAGAGCTGCTCTTCGTGGGCTGAGGACGCCATCGAGAGGAACCTCCGGCTCGGCTGGATTCCCAGAGCACCTCGAACCTGACGAGCCCTCGAGTGCGGCCGGGCCGACCCTGCAGCTGGCTCGGTGCTCGGTGCTCGGTGCTCGGCGCTCGGGGCTCGGGGCTCGGGGCTCGGGGCTCGGGGCTCGGGGCTCGGGGCTCCGCGCTGCGCAGGCGTCTGGGGGCGCTTCAGGCACCCCAGACGTCCAGGAAGTACGCTTCTGGCTTTTGTGATCAGGCAAATTTATTAACAACAATGAGGTCACAGTAATTTTCAATAAATCATGGCTTGCTGATTTATTTCAAAAGATCCATATAGCAGTAAACAATACCATTTACATTTAATGAGTTTTATTGAACGAAAGGCAGTTTTATTTGTAATGAACCACATGTGATGATTAAGGATGTATTTTAATGACCTTTAAGTAATGCGAACAAATGTTGCCCTTGACCCAATAGCAGGGGCCTTCCTGCATGATTGAAACTTCAGAGTGGTTTTTAAATCATCACGGAAGCTTGGAATGGCATCCTCATTATTGTGCCATCATTCAGCCATTTGACGTCCAACATGCTGGATGCAGTGCATTCCCCGAGATGCTCACGCGTGCCCTGGAGTGAGCGTGGTTGTAGCTCGTTCTTTATTTCTGTGTCTCCAAAGGTAGTCTGTATGTGAGTGCTTTATTTTTTGAAAAATACTATGACAGGGTCCTATTTAAATGATGAGTGATTCTCAGCCTTGCCTTATCCTAGGAGTCCTTGGCTGCTTGTTAAACATTCCACTCGTATTTTCATAATTCTGACATTATTGTGCAATGTATTTCTTCTTGTGTAAACGAAATTGACTCAGTTAACTTGGAAGTAACTTCCTACAGTTGACATGTAGCCTTGGCTGCAGTCCCAGACCCAGCATGTTCAGCGGGCCTGCCCCCCTACTGGGGCAGCATCTGTCTGCATCCCCCACAGGCCCCCTGGAGGGGTGAGGAGCTCTCCCAGGTAACCAGACCCTCAGAGACCCATGGTTCTGTGTGGCAGGTGCCTGCGGGGGTGTGAGTGCAGCTGCGGGATCAGCAGCGGCTCCACACCCTGCAGCCCCGAGTCCGTTGCTCTGTCCTGAACTCGATGTGGGAACAGTGTTTCCCATGGAGGATCATGTTGGTAACATTCTATGACCGATTCCTGAAGGTTGGTCATGATCTCAGCCCTTCCTCTGATTTTGGAAGCGTCTCATCTCCTATCTTCAGCCCCTTCTGCTCTAATGTCTGGAGCGGCTTGTTTCCTGAATTGGTCCACCCCAAATCAAGAGAAACGTTTTTCTCCTTCTCCAGAACCCCAGAGGTCTGCAGTCCCAAGCCGAGAGGACAGCTCTGTCACCCCCATTTGTGACTTTCAACTGTCCCAAATGTCTGCCCCTGTAGCCTGGCCACCTGGAGGGGACGGGCGGGGAGAGCGCTCGAATCTCAGGCACACATCACCTCTCGTCACGTCTCATCACATCTCACCGCAAGTGAGCTGGCTTGGAGCATGGGCCTCCTCTTACCTGGGGTGGCCCAGGACAGATCTTCCCTCTGGGACTGGGCACTCGGTGATTGAGCCACCTTACTAAGGCCTGTGGACAGGAGGGAAGCAAGGGCAGTGGGTCAGGCCCAAGGTCCACTGCTTTGAACTGCGGTTGATCTGGGGCGAAGCAGTGAGACTCCCCCCCCCACCCCCCGAAGATGAGGTGGGCAGAGTCACATGTGGGAGCCAGTAGCGGTACAGTTTCAGGTAGCCCATCAGGGCACAAGGCCTTAATTGGTCAGCTCAGATGGCCCAGCCAGCATCCAGTTTTCTCTCCAAGGGGTTCGAATCCTGCACCTGTCCCAGGTCCGAGACGTGTCCATGAGGCTGTTCCTGCACTCAGCTTGGCATTGCTCGGGCCATGGTCCACACACTCTTACCAGACAGTGTGGGGTCCAGCTGAGAGTCCAGTGCGGGCGTTTGGGCTCTGCGAGCTCAGGGTCTCCATGGGGTGCACCTTCCCGGGTGCGCCCTGCAAGCTCTGCCTCGGACATGGCGTCAGCCCCCTGCCGGGGAGCCCCAAGGCATCTAGACGGGAGCCTCTGTCCAGCACACGGAGAGGGGAGGACACGGCGTCAGCCCCCTGCCAGGGACCCCGAGGCATCTGCGGGAGCCTCTGTCCAGCACACGGAGAGGGGAGGACACGGCGTCAGCCCCCTGCCAGGGAGCCCCGAGGCATCTAGACGGGAGCCTCTGTCCAGCACACGGAGAGGGGAGGACACGGCGTCAGCCCCCTGCCAGGGACCCCGAGGCATCTGCGGGAGCCTCTGTCCAGCACACGGAGAGGGGAGGACACGGCGTCAGCCCCCTGCCAGGGAGCCCCGAGGCATCTAGACGGGAGCCTCTGTCCAGCACACGGAGAGGGGAGGGCATGGCACTGGTCCCGCTCAGGACGGACTAGGACGCTGCCCCTGTCTAGGAACCAGAGCCGCGAGCTGCAGCTGACCTGTCACCCAGGCCGCTCTGACCTTGCTGGGCAGCTCAAGTCAGACTGGTCCTCTGAGTCAGTGGTTAGTTTCCTCTTCATCCAACCCTGCAGTAGTCACTAGCATATGCTGTCACACCTGTAGTCCTGTACAGTCTTTTCCTGTATTTAGAAGTCTGTTTGCCTCTCCTGTGCGTTTTCCATCGTGTGCAGGCTGTGTGCACCTGTTGCTAACTCTCACAGCACTGATGGAGTGGAGCAGGAATCCCGGTCCTCCTGAGAGCCACAGAGGGCCTGCAGACAGCTGCAGCCCAGGCCGGGGAGGTCTCGGCCCCGTGCAGCAGCAGCCCAGGCCGGGGAGGTCTCAGCCCCGTGCAGCAGCAGCCCAGGCCGGGGAGGTCTCGGCCCCGTGCAGCAGCAGCCCAGGCCGGGGAGGTCTCGGCCCCGTGCAGCAGCAGCCCAGGCCGGGGAGGTCTCGGCCCCGTGCAGCAGCAGCCCAGGCCGGGGAGGTCTCGGCCCCGTGCAGCAGCAGCCCAGGCCGGGGAGGTCTCGGCCCCGTGCAGCAGCAGCCCAGGCCGGGGAGGTCTCGGCCCCGTGCAGCTGCAGCCCAGGCCGGGGAGGTCTCGGCCCCGTGCAGCTGCAGCCCAGGCCGGGGAGGTCTCGGCCTCTGTGCAGCAGCAGCCCAGGCCGGGAGGTCTCGGCCTCTGTGCAGCAGCAGCCCAGGCCGGGGAGGTCTCGGCCCCGTGCAGCAGCAGCCCAGGCCGGGAGGTCTCGGCCTCTGTGCAGCAGCAGCCCAGGCCGGGAGGTCTCGGCCTCTGTGCAGCAGCAGCCCAGGCCGGGGAGGTCTCGGCCTCTGTGCAGCAGCAGCCCAGGCCGGGAGGTCTCGGCCCCGTGCAGCTGCAGCCCAGGCCGGGGAGGTCTCGGCCCCGTGCAGCTGCAGCCCAGGCCGGGGAGGTCTCGGCCTCTGTGCAGCAGCAGCCCAGGCCGGGAGGTCTCGGCCTCTGTGCAGCAGCAGCCCAGGCCGGGGAGGTCTCGGCCCCGTGCAGCAGCAGCCCAGGCCGGGAGGTCTCAGCCTCTGTGCAGCAGCAGCCCAGGCCGGGAGGTCTCGGCCTCTGTGCAGCAGCAGCCCAGGCCGGGGAGGTCTCGGCCTCTGTGCAGCAGCAGCCCAGGCCGGGAGGTCTCGGCCTCTGTGCAGCAGCAGCCCAGGCCGGGGAGGTCTCGGCCCCGTGCAGCAGCAGCAGCAGTGTCCACAGGAGCACGGAGACGAGACAGGCTCGGACACACCAGCTCTCGTGTGTGTGGGCTGATGTCAGCGTCCCAGTCAGAGCCCCTAGTAAACGGCTGATATTTTTAAACTTCTGTATTGGATTTGGCCAGCTTTCTGTAGCCAATTAGAAGTATTAAAAAAACAAAAAAAAAAAACTAAAATAGCAATAATTAAAAGAATCTTAGAACTTTACCCTAAGAAAAGTGCGAGTATAGGAAATCTCCATTTGTGGTTATAATTCACACAATATTATTTGGGTTCAAACGATCAGTTTGAAAAACGCACCAACATGTCTGGGTCGTCGCACCCTTGTTTGGTCTCCCTCCACCCACATTGTCACCCGCGTGCCTCAGACCTGCGTGCTTGGGGTTTTGTCTCTCCCGTCAGTAAGTGTGAGGCTGGAGTGCGTGTCCCTGTCCTGGGCTGCCTAGTAGGCAGGGGTCAGAATCCCACATGGGTACAGACTGTCCATCTAAACAGACGATCTCTCAGTGTTGTGAATTCTTGATGATCTGGTAAAAATCACAGTGCATCATTAAAAAATGAAATTGGCCCTGGCTGGTTTGGCTCAGCAGTTAGAGCGTCGGCCTGCGGTCCAGAGAGACCCGGGTTCGGTTCCCGCTAAGGGCATGTACCTCGGTTGCAGTTTGTCCCCGGCCTTGGTTGGGTCGTGCGGGTGGCAGCCACTCGATGTGTCCCTTTCACGGCGATGTTTCTCTCTCTCTCTCTCTCTCCCAGTCTATCTGAACAAAAAATGGAAAAAATGTCCTCAGATGAGGATTAAAAAAAAAATGAAATTGATTTAAAATATATTACTATGTAGCCCTGGTCAGCGTGGCTCAGCAGTTAGAGCATCGGCCCGCACACTGAAGGGTCTTGGGTTCGATTCCTGGTCAAGGGCATGTACCTGGGTTGCGGGTTCAATCCCTGCCCCAGTTGGGGCGCATGAGGAAGGCAACCAATCAATCTCTCTCTCACATCAATGTTTCTCTCTTTTGCTCTTTCTCCCTCCCACTCTCTCTAAAATTCAATGGAAAAAATATCCTCGGGTGTGAATTAACAACAACAATACATTGCTTACATTAATATAACTTCTATTATTTTAATAAAATTAAACTTTCTGGACCAATGAGCTTACATTTATAATTATCTACAGTAAGGTGCTTAAGATCTCATCTCTGGAGTCTTGCTGTTTAAACTTCACACGTTGCAAGTGAGTGGAGTAACCTAAAGCCTACGTCTTTTCTGCTTTGAAACAACTTCTGTGGATGTGAGACAGTTTTATAAATGTAGGTCATGGCACACAGGAGACTGCACTGTCTGCGTGTCCTCAGGGAAGGTGACAGTTCATGGCAGAGGTGGAGCTGCCTGACAAGCATCCACACAGACCTAGGGATCCGCCAAGGTCTGTAAACCCAGCCCATTGCCTGCTGAGCACTCCGACACTCGCACACCTGTCTCGCTGCTCACGCACAGTCTCCCCCGAAACTGGAACCCCGGGCAGCCCCCGGCCATGGGTATCTTGTCCGCAGCTCCCAGTGCTTCTGATAGACACGTGTCACCAGGTAGCAGTGATCTGTTAGAATCAAGAGAAAATGCCGTGCTTCCCTCGAGCCTCTTTGTTTTAGTTATCTTCCGTTCTAGTTCATGATGTTGGCACAGAAAACATAAGAAAACCATCACTTTTGGTAAATAATATATAAAAATATTACTTGGTAACTGAACCTTTTCAAGAAATGCCGCTTGAGGTACTGTTGCTGACTCGGATGCTCTACGTTGCAGGACCTGTTCTCCATCAGTGCCCATGTCCACGCGCAGAAACCACAGAGGGACATCCACAGCTTCGAGGGCACGTTTACCAGGGTGAGTGAGCCTGCTGTCAGACCAGGCTGTTCCTTCTGCGTCTGAGTTAGCGATAGCAACCTTCATTTCGAGAGAGTGATTGAATCGAGAATAAATTGAGCCCTGGCCGGTTTGGTTCAGCGGTTAGAGCGTCGGCCTGCGGTCCTGAGAGACCCAGGTTCGGTTCCCGCTGAGGGCATGTACCTCGGTTGCAGTTTGTCCCCGGCCCTGGTTGGTCGTGCGGGTGGCAGCCACTCGATGTGTCCCTTTCACGTCGATGTTTCTCTCTCTCTCCCTCCCACTCTACCTGAACAAAAAATGGAAAAATGTCCTCGGGTGAGGATAAAAAAAAAAAAAAAAGTTAAAAAAAAAGAATAAATTGAAATTGAAGTTTTGAACTAAAAAGGGAATACTTAGAAAAGGTTTCAAGTTTTTTAATTTTCCTATATCCAATATTTCTTTAGGATACATTCAGTACATTTTTTTCTTTCTTTCTTTTTTAGCATATTTACTCTTTTTTTTTTAATCTTTAGTGTTGAATGTATCACAGATGTTCCTCATTTTACCACCATTGACCCCCCTTCTCCCCCCTCCCACATCCCTCCCGCCTTTTCCCACACTATTGTCTGTGTCCATTGGTTATGCATATAAGTTCTTTGTTTTATTTCCTCCCACCCCCCTTCCCTTTGAGGTTTGTCAGTCTACAACCAATTTGTGCTTCTTCATCCCTTCACCTTTTTCACCCATTTCCCCAACCCCCCCATCTGACAACCAACAAAATGTTCTCTGTATCTGTGAGAATGTTTCTGTTCTGACTGTTCATTTTGTTTGTAGATTCAATTGTTGATAGATATGTATTCATTGCCATTTTGTTTGTTCATACATTTTATCTTTTTCTTCAAAAAGACCCTTCATCATTTCATATAATAACGGTTTGGTGGTGATGAACTCCTTTAACTTTTTCTTGTCTGGGAAACTATATGGCCATCGATTCTAAATGACAGCTTTGCAGGATAGAGTAATCTTGGTTGTAGGTTCTTGCTTTTCATCACTCTGAATATTTCTTGCCACTCCCTTCTGACCTGCAAAGTTTCTTTTGAGAAATCAGCTGACAGCCTAATGGGAACTCCCTTGTAGGTAACTAACTGCTTTTCTCTTGCTGCTTTTAAGATTCTCTCTTTGTCTTGAACCTTTTGCATTTTGATGATGATGTGTCTTGGTGTGGGCCTCTTGGGGTTCATCTTGTTTGGGACTCTCTGTGCTTCCTGGACTTGTATGTCTGTTTCCTTCACCAAGTTAGGGAAGTTTTTTGCCATTATTGTTTCAAATAGGTTTTTGATTTCTTGTTCTCTTTCTCTTTCTGGCACCCCCAAGGTGCGAATGTTGGCATGCTTGAAGTTGTCCCAGAGGCTCCTTACACTATCCTCATTTTTTTGGATTCTTTTTTCTTTTTGCTGTTCTGATTGGGTGTGTTTTGCTTCCTTATATTCCAAATCGATGGTTTGCTTCTTGGCTTCCCTACTCTACTATTGAATCTGTGTAAATTGTTCTTTATTTCAGTTAGTGCCTCCTTCATTTCTGACTGGTCCTTTTTTATGCTCTTGAGGCCCTCACTAAGTTCGCTGAGGTTCTCACTAAGTTCATTGAGCATCCTTATAAGCAGTGTTTTGAACTCAGCATCTGTTAGGTTGCTTATCTCCATTTTGCTTAGTTCTTTTCCTGGAGATTTGTTCTGTTCTTTCATTTGGGACCTGTTTCTTTGTCAGCTCATTTTGGCTGCCTCCCTGTGTTTGTTTCAGTGTATTACTTAACGAGAGGTATGGGGCTAGCTGAGACCGGATGCTGCTTGTTTGAAAGAATTTAGGAAAACCTGAAGCAGGATCCCAGACAGGCCAATCCTATGGTTAAGCAACTGGCAACAGCTTGGGTGGGCCTGAAAGTTGGGTGGGGTGGGCCTGAAAGTTGGGTTGGGTGGGGTGGGGTGGGGCGGGGCCTCAGGGAGTCACCAGGGCTGGGCTACCAGTGTGAGCCAGGTTGCTGGAGTCCCAGATATGGCGGCTGTCTGCCGCCCCAGGGAAGGGCTCACCAAAGGAACAACGGCCTCTGACAGCACGTTTGTCCCCGAGAAAAACGCCTCTCCAGCCCTCGCTCCAGTGCCAAAAAGCTCAGTTCTTCCCTGTATGTCTCTGGCGCCCCTGGAGCTACCTCCCCTCCAAGCTTAGATGGAGAGAGTCTGATAAGTCTGTGCACAGGCCCTTTAAGGAGCTGCCTGGGGCTCCAGCTGCGTCAGCTTCCCTGAGCCTCAGTTCCCGCTGGTTTGCTGGTTTTTCCAGCCAGAAGTGATGGGGATTCTATTTCTGGCACTGGAACCCCGAGCGGGGTGCCTGATGTGGGAAGGGGACCCCTCAGTCCTCAGGGAGGACCTTCCCAGCCGAGGTGTCCTCCTGATTTTTATCCGCCACACATGGGTGTGGGACCAGCCCGTCTACCTCCGCCCCTCCTACCTCCGCCCCTCCTACCAGTCTCTTTTGGCTGCTGCTTTAATTCCGTAGTTGTAGGACTTCCATTTAGCTCCATGTCAGGCGGTTTTGAATGATGGTTGTTCTGTAGTTTAGTCGTAACTTTGATGTGGTTGTGGGAGGACGGATACTGAGTTTACCTACCTGCCACCTTGACCGGAAGTCAGCATATTTACTCTTGATAAGACTCTTCTCCCTTAAACCATTATGGATCAGCAAAATGAATTGATTTAGTATTTTGGCTTTGACTTTGGATAATAGTCAGTGCACTATGATAACCACACCACTTATTTATTGATACGGGCTGGTTGGAGGGTGTGTGTGCAGGTCCATGTCCTGACGCATACATCTGTTCTGTCCTGCGTTCTTCTCATTGTGATGGTGCTTTGCTGCGGCTTGAGAGCCCTGTCCCCTCTCCCCCTGACTATTGAATGGGACTTGGAGGAATAACTTGATTTTAACAGCTTATACTGATGTTATAAATGCTCTACAATACTGAAAGTGTCTTAATATATGACTGTCGTTCTTGCTGTAATTGTTTCTTGCTGTAATTAATTCTAAAAGATTTCTGTTGTTTCACTCTTGGTCATATTCAAGGACCGGTGAGCAGTGAGCATTTGAGAAAGCGTTTGCTAAGGTGTGTTCTGTGCCAGGTAATGTGAAACTACTGGATGGCAAAGTGAGGCCAGAGGGGAGGCAGACGTCCCTTGGTACCTTGTTTGCAGGAGAGCTGCAGCCAGGTGTGTGCAGAGAGTCAGTGCAGACGCAGAGGAGGACCTGTCCTGGTGGTGAGCGCTTTTGAGTTCTGAAGAAAACTGAGCTCTTCTGTGTCTTGCAGAAATGTTTATGTAACAAGCAAGTTTTTGTTAGAGGCAATTTAGAAAGTCCTACTTTAAGGCACCCTGAGCACGATAAATTAGGAGTTATCACCTTACTCACACGAGAAAGAAACACTGCTCACTTCAGTTTGCCCTGCGTGGGGTGACCCCCGCGGCAGTGTCAGCTCCAGAGCCAGGGTCAGCAGACGGGAGTGGTCTGGGTCCTGCCTGCCTCAGGCTGTCTGGTTGGTCCAGGCACGTCGGCTGTGTGCGTGGTGGGGCTCAGTGGGGGGGTCCAGATGGTGGCCTCCTTCGTGCCTGCTTCTAGCAGGGTTTTGTCTGCTCAGTTTGAACATGTAGACCTTGAGCTTGGATTACTGACATGATACAGCTTTATCTGTGTGTGTATTTTTCACACAAAAAAGGAAAGAAAAACCATGCAAAGAATAGTTTTGTAACCAAAAATGGAATTCAGTTTAATTACCAAAATATCAACTGAACATTTAAAAGGGTGATATGTGCTGATGTTCTTTTTTTACAGTATAAAGTATATAAAGAACAAAATATATGTTTCTTTTATATCAGCTTAAATAATTAAATAAGAGTCAGAGCACATTAATTCCAGTGTCCCGTGACAACAGACATGTTATAGTTTTTGTTGCCCGTGCAGAGTAATGTGCACACAGCACATCATGAAAGTATCTGCTGGGACTTACCTTGAAGCAGCGTCAGGGGAACCTGACTCTATGCCATTTTGTGGTATATAAATGATTCATATCATTATTGTTGATGTCATTAATTTTGCTATTGTTCAAGACACAGCTATTCTCTTTGAAGTGTGGAGATTAAAACTAGCCACTTTGGAAATACTTGCAGTGTTCGCGGTCCTGTGACATCGTGTTCCCATCTATCTCTGTAGATGCATTTCTGCTGTAATTTCTTTTGCAAACCATACGACACTGATCTCTCTTCCAATCAAATATTCTCCTTCAAAAGAAGCAAGTCCTGAAATCGTTGCATTGTGCATGCTCACTCTCCAAAGCAAATTCTGTTTTTCCAGACTCTGTCACATTCAGGAGAAGGAAGCCCAAAGGGAAAGATATTTAGAGATCATTTATTTCTCATGTTCCCAGTCTTTGTTCTGTACTGTATGAGATTGGTAAAGAACTGGCTTTTACAACAATTTCTCAATATAGACAAAATGTTTAATGTTTAGAATTCGTCATTGCTATTACAGAATTGAAAGGAAAGAGCAGAGTGTGTATATTCCAACACGTAATTGTGTTAGAAATAGACAGAAAGCATTCATATTATTCAGTAGTTTTAGAAGAGTAATGTGCAACTTAAATTTCAAAAAGTAAATAGTACAGAACCTGTTATTTACAGAAAGCTTAAAAACTTTTCCATTTTTTAACGCCCTTATTTCTCTTGGAGTTCGACACAATGGGAAAGTGCTATACTAAAAGATATGCCTGTGTTGGTAAGTTTAGTTTCCATGGTAAGGGAACTGCAGGAGAGTTTTAAACTGATGAGATCGACTCACTGGGGCTTGTGGCCAGTTGAAGAAGGCAGCTGCCGGCAGGTGGCAGAAGGGCGCACCTCCAGGTGAGCACAGCAGCAGGGGCCCGCCCGCCCGCCCCCACGCGAGGGCATCGGAGGTGACAGCGCACATCCCAGGCCTGTGGGCCTCTGGCTCAGTCACTTACTAGACACATTGAAGTGCCTGTTTTGTGCCAGGCGCTTAGAAGGTCAAGGTTAGCACCATGGTCACATAGCTCACAGTCCAGGGGGAGAGAGGAACATGGGGATTGTGTGGTAGCGTGGAAATAATTCAGAATTCATATTAGAGAATACTTTTTTGTTTTACTCCTTAAATGATAAATAAGTGAATCAACCTTTGGCAGGATGTATCTCAAATATATAGTCAGTTTGCCAGATCATGGCTAAAAGTCCTAGATTAACATACAATTAAAGGATATGGCATGGACCACATTTGGGAAATAGGAGTGATGATACATGAATTTTTATGTCTCTCCGACAGTATGTTTTAAAACGGAACAGCATCAGTCTTCATATTGACAAAGCCTGGGAGCTGAGGAACTGTCTCCATGGTGGTGGCCTGCCTTTGGGGCAATGGGAGCCGCCACGTAAGGGAACCTCAGTAGGGTCCTAAGAGCTAAACCCGAACTTAGTGCTTGGAATGCAAGAGACTGACTAAGCGCTGGATTTGCCGTCAGATGCTTACAAGACCCCTGGGAGCCAAACCCCTTCCTCAGACTAAATGTAATACACTCCACTGTACTTTATACATGTTTCCAAAACCAGGGAAATGGTTTGGGAACTGTTGGGATTGGTTTAGATTTTTTGACTTACAAATAAATCAGAGAATCAAATATATTAGGGGATCAATTATCTAGCAAATATCTAACAAGTAGTTAGCAAAATGGCCAGAATGTATATCATTTGAAAAGGGTGGATGAGAAGAAAACAGTAGTAGCACAAATCTCTATTTCTTACATGCATTTTTGAAAATGTGTTTTCAGTGTCTTCCCTTTTTCCCAAATTATTTTATTTCTTTGTTATCTTAAAATATATCCTGCTAGAAGATTATCAACGTTTATACAATATAATTTTACGAGGTGACATTATTTAAGGGAGACTCACACTACTCAGGACAGTGTGTGGTCTGTTACTACACAGAGACACAGAGATAATTTCCTGCCATACTTGACACTTCACCTATGTTTCTTCTAGATGCACAGCTGTGGGCTTCTGTAACCCTTTATTCTAGAAAGGTTTCCACAACCAGAACTGCTATGAATCCTTTATAGACTATCACTTAGATTGAGATAAAAAGTTCTCAGATTTTAAATAGTTATGTTTGTTTCTAAACAATAAACATTATAAGGGTAAAGATTAAACTACACCATCCTTTATTTCTGTTGTGATACTGATGTGTAGCCATGTTTGATATCTGTACACATAATTAGCAGTAGACAACTCATATTTGAGTTTTGTTTTGTTGTTGTTGTTTTTTTATCATCCTCACCCGAGGACATTTTTCCATTTTTTGTTCAGGTAGAGTGGGAGGGAGAGAGAGGAACAGAGAGAGAGAGAAACATTGATGCGAAAGGGATACATCGAGTGGCTGCCACCCGCACAGCCAACTAGGGCCGGGGACAAACTGCAACCGAGGTACGTGCCCTTAGCGGGAACTGAACCCGGGTCTCTCCGGACCGCAGGCCGATGCTCTAACCGCTGAGCCAAACCGGCCAGGGCTATATTTGAGTTTTTGCTTAATGAAAAAAGTACAATGTAACAATAAGACATTTTAAAGAGAAATTTAAGAGATATGTCATCTTTATAGGTATAGATATAAATATAGGTATATATTACTTTTTAAATAATATTCACAGAAGCATTTTTTTTCTTATGAGTACACATGCATTTGGAGAGCTTAACCTTTGTCCTTGCCCCGCAGGGCAGGAGGAGGATATTCTATATGCTACTGAATAAGTGTTGATGAGTCGATCTGTAATATGTCTGTGCTAATGTCTTACACTTTTCTCCGAGTGCTGTGGTGATGCCAGTGTACATGGTGGGGTATATAATTTGTTTACTGAAACAAAGTTACAGTAACACTAGCTTTTAGAGTGATAGTTGTTGCCTTTCTCCTTAAATGTATTAATCTGTTAAATCCCATATAGAACAAAGAGTTCAGTTTCAAACCATTGTTACAATAATATTCCCTTTTACAACTGCACATGTATTTACCTTTATTGAGATCTTTATTTCCCCAGTCATCTTGAAGTTCCTGTCTCATGTCCTTCATTTTGCTTACAGGACCCCCTTGAGCGTTTCTCACAGGGCCGGTCTAGTACTCACAAAATCCTCAGCTTTTATTTATCTTGCAATGTTTTCATTTATTTCTTAATTTCAAAGGACAGTTTTGTTGGATATAAGATTCTTTTAGCATTTTGACTATAAAGGCCCATTGCTTTCTGGTCTCCAAAGTTTCTGAAGAGAAATCTGCAGGGTCCCTTGTGTGTGATGATTCTCTTCTTTCTTGCTGCTTTCAAGATTCTCTCTTTGTCTATGTCCTTTGAAAGTCTGATTGTGATGTGTCTTAGTGTGGGTCTCTGTGAGTTCATTGTACTTAGATTGTTTGAGCTTTTGATAAATTTCATCAAATGGGGGGTTTTCAGCCATTGTTTCTTCAAATATTCTCTCCACCCTTTTTCTGTCTTTTCCTCCTGGAACTTCCTCAGGGAGTCAAGTGACTGGCCTTCTGCTGTCCCACAGATCCCTCAGGTCCTTCCAGTTTTTCCAGCCTTTCTTTTTTCTGTTTCTCAGACTAGATAATTTCTATTGCCTTAATTTTAAGTTCACTGATTCTTCCTTCTGGCTGCTCAAATCTGCCTTTGGTGAATTTTTTTATGTGTCATTGTATTTTCATCTCTTGAGCTTTTTGTTTGTTTCTGTTTAGTTTTTCTCCTTATTCATATATCGTTTTCTTGACTTTCTCCACATTTTTATTTTTTTGAACATCTTTAATATTTTTCTTTTGAAGTCTTTGTCTAGTATATCTGCCAACAGGTCTTTTTCAGTGATAACTTCTGTTGATTTATATTTTTCTTTTAAATGGACTATACTTTTCTGGATTGTTTTTTTAATGCCTTATTTTTTGTTGAACATTGGAGAACACAGTAACTCCAGAAGTTAAATTTTTCCCCTTCCTCAGGGTGTGCTGTTTGTTTGTTTGTTTGTTTTGTGGGCTCTCTGTGCTAAGGATCAGCCTGTGGTGTAAACTTAACGTCTTCTTGTGTCTCTTCTATGATTTCCTTAGTCAAGTGCAGTCCCTTTCTATTCTCCTCATACCTGTTTTAATGTGCTAATCTTTCCTGTCTAGCTTTTAAGTGGAAAATAGAAAAATACAGAGGGGGGCACTTTCCCTTTACATCTTCTGGAAGTCACCGTAGCTGGAGGGGGAAGGGCAACAAAATGGCCACCCCCCTTTTTAGTCTGCACCCCTATCATCAGAAGCAGCAGCAGTCAGTGACCAGAGCACAGAGTCCCCGTATTAGGAGGACAGGGGTCTTTTCGCCCACCCTGACTCCCACAGGCTGTGTGTAAGCTGGGGCACAGCTTGCTGTCATGCAGCTGGGGGCTGGGTGGGCGGCAGGCAGCTGTGCCTGTGCTCAGCCCTGGAACTGACCCACATTAACCAGAATTTATCAGCCAAGACTTGAACAGAGTTCAAAGTCGAACTAGTTGTATCAGGCAGATCCTGCCCTGCAGTAGTCGGGGGGGCTCCTGACGCTCCCTGCTCCGCCGTCTTCTCGGAACCCTCGGTCTCGGCGCCAGTTCTTTCTTTGGTGGCGCCTTCCACTGCTGGCCAGCGGGGTCCAGCTTGTGGCTTCTTTGTCCATTGTCGGTTTCTGAAGTGCGAGTAACACAGATATTGGTGATTTAGTATTGTTTTCTTTTTCTCTTCCCGAACAGGAAGACAGTGACCCACCTGTTCATGAAAGTCTCAGCATAGAAAATACATTGTGGGCAAGCACAGTTGTTGCATCAGGTAAGAAATACGCTCTGTTTTTATGGTTAATTCTCACATGCTAGGTGATGCTTTGTGTTTTTAGGTGGCTCCAAACAAGTGCTTCTCAAAATGCCCTGCATTATGCGGAACCTTACTAAACGCACACTGCGGTTCAGTGGGCGCTGGACAGGCCCAGGCCGCAATTGCTGGGCATGTGCACAGCGGGGTCCGGGACTACAGGGATTGTGATAAATACAGAGATGAGAGCAGACATTTGGAAATTTTAATTGTAATTGATGAAGTAATTTAATGTTAGAAAAATTGGGGCACATACTCTCTTGTTTTTGTTTTTATATTGTTTCTTTTGTTAATTTATTTTGTGGTGTTTTACAGAACTAGTCTTTACAACATATTAATAATTTAAAAATAAAACCTGGCCCTTTATCATTCATTGTTGGCGGACCCCTGCTCTAAGACTAGGTTAGCTGGTCTCGGGTTGGGGTAGCTAGAGAAGCTGCTCCATGAGTACAGTCCCAAGGGACAGCCCCGAGCTCTGGGGAGGGACAAACCAGCTACTGGCTGAGCACAAAGGGGAAGTGGGGGCAGCAAAGCACACTGCAGCATGGGGTCCAACCTTCACAGCAAGGACAGGGGTGGCTGCTTCTCAAACCTTCTGTCTCATGGGCAGTTGTAGGGGTGGAGGTAGCTGAGAAATTCTGCTCACTCTCTGTTGGTCGATGCCTTCCACAAACATGCACGGTTGACAGAACCCAGACCTGGTGCAGGTCCCATCTGACATACGGTGTCCCTGGCCTCATCTCTTTGTGTAGCTTTTCTCAGGCTAATTTATTGATTCCATGGGGGTGTGCTGCACGGCAGGTGTGCAGTGCTCGCCGTTCACTGTCACCCTGTGTTTCCACTGCTTGGTGCTTTCCTTCCTTCCTCACCTGCCGCACCAGGTGTGTGCTGCACGGCAGGTGTGTAGTGCTCGCCGTTCACTGTCACTCTGTTTCCACTGCTTGGTGCTTTCCTTCCTTCCTCTCCTGCCGCACCAGGGGTGTGCTGCACGGCAGGTGTGCAGTGCTCGCCGTTCACTGTCACCCTGTGTTTCCGCTGCCTGGTGCTTTCCTTCCTTCCTCTCCTGCCGCACCAGGGGTGTGCTGCACGGCAGGTGTGCAGTGCTCGCCGTTCACTGTCACCCTGTGTTTCCGCTGCCTGGTGCCTTCCTTCCTTCCTCACCTGCCGCACCAGGGGTGTGCTGCACGGCAGGTGTGCAGTGCTCACCGTTCACTGTCACCCTGTGTTTCCGCTGCTTGGTGCTTTCCTTCCTTCCTCTCCTGCCGCACCAGGGGTGTGCTGCACGGCAGGTGTGCAGTGCTCACCGTTCACTGTCACCCTGTGTTTCCGCTGCTTGGTGCTTTCCTTCCTTCCTCTCCTGCCGCACCAGGTGTGTGCTGCACGGCAGGTGTGCAGTGCTCGCCGTTCACTGTCACCCTGTGTTTCCGCTGCCTGGTGCTTTCCTTCCTTCCTCTCCTGCCGCACCAGGGGTGTGCTGCACGGCAGGTGTGCAGTGCTCGCCGTTCACTGTCACCCTGTGTTTCCGCTGCCTGGTGCCTTCCTTCCTTCCTCACCTGCCGCACCAGGGGTGTGCTGCACGGCAGGTGTGCAGTGCTCACCGTTCACTGTCACCCTGTGTTTCCGCTGCTTGGTGCTTTCCTTCCTTCCTCTCCTGCCGCACCAGGGGTGTGCTGCACGGCAGGTGTGCAGTGCTCGCCGTTCACTGTCACCCTGTGTTTCCGCTGCTTGGTGCCTTCCTTCCTTCCTCTCCTGCCGCACCAGGGGTGTGCTGCACGGCAGGTGTGCAGTGCTCGCCGTTCACTGTCACCCTGTGTTTCCGCTGCTTGGTGCCTTCCTTCCTTCCTCTCCTGCCGCACCAGGGTGCTCCAGAGGCACCAGCAGCTCGTACGTGAGGCTTTGTTGAGGCTCCGGGAAAGCATCTGTGAATCGTGGCAGGTCCCCCAGCTGCCGTAGGGCCCCAGCAGTTTCTCACTGTGTGGAGCAGGTTCTGGGCATGAAAGGCATATAATTGGAACCAAGAAAGACTTTGGTTACTAGGCAGCTCTCCCCGTCTGTACACCTGTTCGTCTCTCTGCACAACATTCCGTCTTTCCTATGTGCGGTCTTTCCTGAAGTCTGATGAATGTGTTCTGTTTTGTTGCCCCCTCATGTCTCACTTTCAAAAACAACAGGTAACCCCGTTCCCTTTCTCTTTTTACCATGTATACAAGTTTACTCATTCTTTTAGCCTATAAATACATACCCTTTGTCAAAGAGAATGGAGGATATTTCAAATATGCTGTACTGACTCTAATAATTGTAGTAATTAAAACACATGAGACTCATAAAAAATGCATTATTCTGACTCCAGCAAGTACTCATTTTTAGTAAAAACTAAATGAAGTAATACATGAGTCTTTATCAAACTTCAATAGATTATATACATAAAATTTCATACTTATGTATGTTATATTTAATATTCAAATACTGATTTTATTCTCCATCCGTCTGAATTAAGTGTTTCCTATTAGTCTTGTCATTTCCTGGATTTCATTTGGGACACTTGACCATGTAATGCCAGCCTGGAGTCAGCATCGCTGGTCATCTGTCTGCATTTCAGGACAGTGGTTTCCAGCTTGATTAATTTTCAAGCCTTCTCTGAGACATATTTGTTCTACTAATGTTATAAATAAATTAATTTTTCAGTTTGCCTTGTTCTATTTTTATGTTTATTTTATATTAGTGACGCTTTTACATTTTGGTTAAGTACACCTTAATTGGTAAATTAGGAAAGTTTTTTAAAGTATTGTTATATATTTAATATTTTTCTATATACGAAGTACAGACAGAATGTCTAGGAAGTTTATTTGGATAATTACATATAAAGAGAGCATTTGTGTGGTTTGGATTAGCTTATATGCCAAGAGGGGCTCACTCATAAATTCAGGCCTCACAGCTTCCCCAGTGACACACCTTTTTAAAAGGTGTAGGGGGTGGGGTGATGCTTATTCTAAAAAGGAAAATATGTAACTTCTGCAGACGGCACTGCTGAGCACTGCTGAGCACCTCTCTCCCCCTGGGCTCCCTGCAGACGGCACTGCTGAGCACTGCTGAGCACCTCTCTCCCTGGGCTCCCTGCAGACGGCACTGCTGAGCACTGCTGAGCACCTCTCTCCCCCTGGGCTCCCTGCAGACGGCACTGCTGAGCACTGCTGAGCACCTCTCCCCCTGGGCTCCCTGCAGACGGCACTGCTGAGCACTGCTGAGCACCTCTCTCCCTGGGCTCCCTGCAGACGGCACTGCTGAGCACTGCTGAGCACCTCTCTCCCCCTGGGCTCCCTGCAGACGGCACTGCTGAGCACTGCTGAGCAGCTCTCCCCCTGGGCTCCCTGCAGACGGCACTGCTGAGCACTGCTGAGCACCTCTCTCCCCCTGGGCTCCCTGCAGACGGCACTGCTGAGCACTGCTGAGCACCTCTCTCCCTGGGCTCCCTGCAGACGGCACTGCTGAGCAATGCTGAGCACCTCTCTCCCCCTGGGCTCCCTGCAGATGGCACTGCTGAGCACTGCTGAGCACCTCTCTCCCCCTGGGCTCCCTGCAGACGGCACTGCTGAGCACTGCTGAGCACCTCTCCCCCTGGGCTCCCTGCAGACGGCACTGCTGAGCACGCTGCACCTCTCTCCCCCTGGCTCCCTGCAGACGGCACTGCTGAGCACTGCTGAGCACCTCTCTCCCTGGGCTCCCTGCAGGAGGCACTGCTGAGCACTGCTGAGCACCTCTCTCCCTGGCTCCCTGCAGAAGCACTGCTGAGCACTGCTGAGCACCTCTCTCCCTGGGCTCCCTTCAGGACGTCACTGCTGAGCACTGCTGAGCACCTCTCTCCCCTGGGCTCCCTGCAGGAGGCACTGCTGAGCACTGCTGAGCACCTCTCTCCCTGGGCTCCCTGCAGACGGCACTGCTGAGCACTGCTGAGCACCTCTCTCCCTGGGCTCCCTGCAGGAGGCACTGCTGAGCACTGCTGAGCACCTCTCTCCCTGGGCTCCCTGCAGACGGCACTGCTGAGCACTGCTGAGCACCTCTCTCCCTGGGCTCCCTGCAGGAGGCACTGCTGAGCACTGCTGAGGCACCTCTCTCCCTGGCTCCTGCAGACGGCACTGCTGAGCACTGCTGAGTCACCTCTCTCTCCTGGGCTCCCGGCAAGACGGCACTGCTGAGCACTGCTGAGCACCTCTCTCTCCTGGGCTCCCTGACAGACGGGCACCTGCTGAGCACTGACTGAGCACGCTCTCTCCCTGGGTTTTTTGCTCCCTGCAGACGGGCCTTTCTGAGCACTGCTGAGCACCTGCTCTCTCCTGGGCTCTCCTGCAGACGGCACTGCTGAGCACTGCTGGAGCACCTCTCTCCCTTGGGCTCCCTGCAGAAGGCACTGGAGCACTGCTGAGCACTGCTGAGCACCTCTCTCCCTGGGCTCCCTGCAGACGGCACTGCTGAGCACTGCTGAGCACCTCTCTCCCTGGGCTCCCTGCAGACGGCACTGCTGAGCACTGCTGAGCACCTCTCTCTCCCTGGGCTCCCTGCAGACGGCACTGCTGAGCACTGCTGAGCACTCTCTCTCCCTGGGCTCCCTGCAGACGGCACCTGCTGAGCACCTCTCCCCCTGGGCTCCCTGGCCGACGGCACTGCTGAGCACTGCTGAGCACCTCTCTCTCCCTGGGCTCCCTGCAGGAGGCACTGCTGAGCACTGCCTAGCCCTCTCTCCCCTGGGATCCCTGCAGACGGCACTGCTGATGCACTGCTGAGCACCTCTCTCTCCCTGGGCTCCGCAGCGAGCACTGCGAGCACTGCTGAGCACCCTCTCCCCCTGGGCCTCCCTGCAGACGGCACTGCTGGCACTGCTGAGCACCTCTCTCTCCCTGGGCTCCCTGCAGACGGCACTGCTGAGCACTGCTGAGCACCTCTCTCCCCCTGGGCTCCCTGCAGAC